AGTCTGAGATTGACGCACCAGACCATAGGTAAACGTTCAGATATATATTTTCAACATACGATCGGGAAGTTTAGAGCCAACATGTTTCAGGGGTCAGAGCAGCCTCTTCATCGGGGCTTTAACATGGTGAAAAAGTGCGCTGGGCTGAATTAGAAATGCAAGATACAGGATGTGTCAGCAGCTGGGTTGAGCAGATCTTTATAGCTGTTGACCTGAAGAATGGAACATGTATGATCATGTCAGTTGGGAGGTCATATAAAGGGCGGGGGGGCTGTTTGTTGTGTACTCTTAGCCTTTTATTACACGCTAATTCTTGATTGCATACATTCACAATCCAGGAAGTGGCAGTTTTCCATTTTGACACACCTTAGTGATTTATGACAATTACCACCTGCAACCCATTGTTGCTTCATTATTTTTTCTAATTTAGTTATAGAGAATGAACTTGTAGAGAGGTTCAACCTGTAGACTAGAGCGTCACCTTCTTAAAGTGAACCTGTCACTCTCCTATTAATTCTAAACTCAACTTCCAGAGGGAAAGGTGACAGCTCCGGGTAGGTATGGCTGTTCAAGTGCCGTACAGATACCGACAAGAGGAGAGAGAGCAGAAAGATGATCTCATCAGTCTGGTTCTCCACCTTCATTGTACAATGGGGCTGGTGAGGATACTAGACCAGGCGCTATTGCTCAATAGCAGTGCTGACAGCAGAAAGATCCAGTGTTAGGCTGGTAGGAGTTCCTAATTTGCAACTGGCAGCACAAAATGACAATCATCCAGCCCAGCACTGACATTGGTTGACCTTGGACACCATTATTTGATTGGATTGCTTTAAGTCCCTAGTGCTCAACCTGCGGCCCAGGGGCCACATGTGAGACTTTGGAAACTTTTTCGTAGGGCCCCTGTAGACACTAATCTGTGTTTCCCTATTACCCTGTAAGGCTCCATGCTCATTCGGCTTAAAAAAACTCCAGTTCCTTTGGCAGAAAAAAGTGTTGATGAGAGTTTTTGTACACCGTTTGGGCGAGTTTAGGGGATGTTGCGTTTTTCTGCCAGAAAACTCCAATCAAAAATGTAAACCAGAACTTTTTTTACTTTTTTGGTTCTGCCTTCAAAATGTTCAGCTGAAAATATGCCTCTAGTCGTCTGTCCTAATGTGCATGAACACAGGATAACACTGAGCTGCTTTTACAGGCAAAACGCAAAACTCCTTTAGAAACAGCGATTTTTTTTTTTTTTTTTTTTTTTTTTTTTATTTTGTTTTGTGCATGGAGCCTTATAGTAGTGATTTCTAGCAGCCTGTAATATGTCTTCAGTCTATGACCATCTCCTGAAACATGTCCACACTCTCTGACCATCCTTTGTATCATGCCCATTGTCTTTTACTATGTCCTATTGTCTGTCTACTGTCTCTGATAATAAATATGGACTGAATTTTATTTGCATCCCTTTGGAAATGTCGGTGGTTGCACTTGAGGCCCCCATATTAAGAACATTGACCACTACTGCTTTCAAGTGACCCTAAAGCTTTGTTATTGTTTGTTCTTTATTTTAAATAATAAAAAAAATGTTCTACTTTTGTTTTGTAAAGAGCAGCCCAGATCCTCTTCTTTTTGGGTCCCCATCGGGGCTCCTGGCTCCTCTCCCTCGAGCAGTGCCTCCAGGGAAAGCCGTTCACCCTGGGGGCACCACTATGTGCTCGTCCCTAAGCTGCTGCTCTGTGCATCCATAAAACACATAGAGCCACCCGCTCTCTCCTCATTGGTTCACTGACTTTGATTGACAGCAGCGGGAGCCAATGGGCTTTCCCTGCTGTCTCAACCAATGAGCAAGAAGAGTCCCCAGGTAGCAGAGGCTGTCGAGAGCGTCGCTGGATTGGAGGGGGCTCAGGTAATGATTGGGGGGGGCTGCTGCACACGGAAGTTTTTTTTTCACCTTCATGCATAGAGTAGAAGTTCAAAGAAAGAAAGTTCAAAAAGTAATGCTGCTGTAGATTACCTAGTCCTTCTTGATTTGGATCACTACTAGCATCCTGACGGAGCTTCACCCCATCCACCCCCCGCCCAGGTTAATTTTGCTTTGAGCCCCCTTCTACCTTGTCTGCCAGGTTAAGCTTGACTAGCATACTCACCCACCAATCGCACGCCAGGTCTCAGGCTGCCACCTTCCTTTCGTACGTCATCAGGGGCTCCCTGTGTCTTCCAGCACAGCTAGCCTAATGGTTCAAAGGGATTAATAATACAAAATTAAAGAGGTAAAGTATTTTTTTTTCACTGCTCTGTGCAAGGTTATTGTACAGAGTGGGCCCTGAACTTCCTCTTCTGCCCCCCCACCCCACTGGTGCTTTCCACCTCCTCTCTGTGTGCCCCCATAAGTAGCTGCATGGACATCCACAGTGTCTTGGGACTTGTGTTCCCCACTGGTGCTTTTGGCTCCTCCCCGTTGATCAGTGCCCCCCAAAAACAAGCCGCTTGCTATAGGGCCACCTGGGCAGCCTCATTCCCGAGCTGCTGCTCTGTGTGTCCATTCAAACACAGATGTGGCTCTGCCCTGCCCCCTCGCTCTCTCCTCATTGGGTCACTGGCTATGATTGATAGTAGCAGGAGCCAATGGCCCCTGCTGCTGTTTCAGCCAATGAGGGGGGAAAGACCCAGGGGAGCTGGGGCTCTCCTGCACATCACTATATCGACATGGGTCTCAGGTAGGTATAAAGGGGAGGGCTTGGGGCGAGGGGGGAGCTGCACACAGAAGGTTTTTTACCTTCATGTATAGAATGCATGAGCCTTTACAACCACTTTAAATAAAAATGGTAATCTCCTTTTTATATGTAGTACCTAAGTCGCTAAAACAAAAGTCATGTCCTGCAATGTCTTTGACAGACGACACAGACCATTGATAATTGGAGCTTTGGCCCACATTTCAGGGATCTGAGTGTAAGTGTCATCCTGCGGGTCGAGTCCTAAAGCGCTTGTAGTTGTCTGTTTTTTACTCCACATGGCACACTTGACTAGGAAAACCTGTTTTTCCTGAGCGGAGACAGACGGCAATAAACTGTTTCAGTAAAAACCCGACTCCTGCCATTTTTGTTTTTACAAGTAGGCTGGAGGAGATCAGGCAACGGATTAAACAAGAACGAAAAAAAAAAAAAATGCAAAAAACAATTAAAAAAAAAAAAAAAAAAGGGCAATTGTTTGATACACAGAGGAACATTTATCAGTTGTGTCCCAGGACAAGGCAATGCTAAGCAGAAGCTGTGAGACAGATTTACTATGTCTTCTGCTTTATAAATTTCTCCTTCTGCTGGTGTGACCAGGGGCGGACTGACAACTCATGGGGTTCCCGGGCAATAGGGGATCATGGGGCCCCTGTGTCCTTGCCCAAACTCAAAAAAGCCTATGAAAAAGTTACCAGGGGCATCTCATGGGGCCCCCTACTGACCCCGGGCCCTCGGGCAGTGCCCGACTTTCCAAATGGTCAGTCCGCCCCTGGGTGTGACGTAGCACTGCAACAATACCCTACAAAAAACCTGCGCCTGACGACTTCATAAAGCTTTTTCTTTTTAGTTTGTTTTTTTTTTTTATTAAAATAACAAACGTGTTATATTTTATTTGCTCTGTGAAGTGGTTAAGCACAAAGCAGCCCCGGTCCTCCTGTTCTCTGGCTCCTTCTCATCATCCAGTGCCCCCATAGAAAACTGCTTCCTGCAGGGGCACTCATGTGGGCTTCCTCCTGAGCCTTGCTGCCTGAGTTCATAGACAGCGGGGCACAGTCCTGCTCCCACAGAGTTTGATTGACAGCAGCATAAGCCAAGGGCCAATAGGGGTAGTTCCAAATTTTTATACTTTGCAATATCAGAGCAACAGTTTTCTAAAATGCAAAATTTTGTAAACATTAATTTTAGGTCACAAAAACTCAATACAGATACTCAATATATAACAAACATGTTATATTTACCTGCTCTGTGCAATAGTTAAGCACAGAGCAGTCCCAATCCTCCTGTTCTCTGGCCCCCCACCAGTGCTCCTGGCTCCCCCTCGTCATCCAGTGCCCTCATGGAAAACTGCTTCCTACAGGGGCACTCATGCGGGCTTGCTCCTGAACTTCGCTGCCTGTGTCCGTAGACAGCGGGGCTCGGCGCTGCTCCCTCGTCACAGAGTTTGATTGACAGCAGCATGAGCCATGGGCCCATAGTGGTAGTTCTAATTTTTTATACCTTGCAATATTAGAGCAACAATTTTATAAAAAGCTAAAGTTCAGTAAAAAATTCACTAACATTAATTTTAGGTCACAAAAACGCAATATATATATATAACCCAGTTTTTTGGTAAAACTTAAAGTAGAACTAATGACAAAACTTTTTTTTACATTTTGGATGGAGTAAGGGAGGGTTATAACGCCTTTCTTTTTTTTTTGTCCCATTGCTAAGATTTCCCTTCACTTCCTGTCCAAGCAGGAAGTGAGAGAAAACCCTGCAAATTAAAGTGTTACTAAACCCACAACAGTACAGTCAGTCTGTATATGCAGTAAAGCATGCTTGTTATACTCACTGTGGAACCTAAGGGGTTAATCCTCCGCATTGTGTAAAAAGGCTGTTTGATCCTGTCTTCTCTGATCCTCCTCTTGTTGAAATGACCACCTGATACAGACTGAACTTGTAGTCACATGCAAATGCTCAGTTTGGTGTGTATTGCTAGAGAGATTTTTTCTTTTTTTGTCTTGAGAGAGTGCATGTGATCAGCACAGGGCCAATCAGACACTGTCCAGACATAAGTCAGGGGATTTCCATCCTTCTAGAGCAGAAAGAAAACTCCTCTACAAGCTTTAGCTAGTGGTGGGCCGGACACTGATAGAAGTGACAAGACTGCTCTAACTGCTGTTGAAAAAAAGGTATTTAGCAGTTATATATTTACTGAAATAATTGCATTTCCATGTTCTGTGTACTGTGGGAGACCGGATATAGTGAATGCAGGGTCCAGGGAGACCAGATATAGTGAATGCAGGGTCCGGGGAGACCAGATCTAGTGAATGCAGGGTCCTGGGGAGACCAGATCTAGTGACTGCAGGGTCTGGGGAGACCAGATCTAGTGAACTGCAGGGTCCGGGGAGACCAGATATAGTGAATGCAGGGTCCGGGGAGAGCAGATATAGTGGATGCAGGGTCCGGGGGAGACCAGATCTAGTGAATGCAGGGTCCGGGGAGACCAGATCTAGTGACTGCAGGGTCCTGGGGGAGACCAGATCTAGTGACTGCAGGGTCCGGGGAGAGCAGATATAGTGAATGCAGGGTCCGGGAGACCAGATATAATGAATGCAGGGTCCTGGGGAGAGCGGATATAGTGAATGCAGGGTCCGGGGAGAGCAGATATAATGAATGCAGGGTCCGGGGAGAGAAGATATATGAATGCAGGGTCCAGGGAGAGCGGATATAGTGAATGCAGGGTCCTGGGGAGACCGGATATAGTGAATGCAGGGTCCGGGGGAGACCGGATATAGTGAATGCAGGGTCCTGGGAGACCAGATATAGTGAATGCAGGGTCCGGGGAGACCAGATATAGTGAATGCAGGGTCCTGGGAGACCAGATATAGTGAATGCAGGGTCCTGGGAGACCAGATATAGTGAATGCAGGGTCCTGGGGAGACCAGATATAGTGAATGCAGGGTCCGGGAGGAGAGCGGATAGGGTGAATGCAGGGTCTGGGGAGACCAGATATAGTGAATGCAGGGTCCGGGGAGACCGGATATAGTGAATGCAGGGTCCGGGGAGACCAGATATAGTGAGTGCAGGGTCTGGGGAGACCAGATATAGTGGATGCAGGGTCCAGGGAGACCAGATATAGTGAGTGCAGGGTCCTGGGAGACCGGATATAGTGAATGCAGGGTCCGGGGAGACCGGATATAGTGAATGCAGGGTCCAGGGAGAGCAGATATAGTGAATGCAGGGTCCAGGGAGAGCAGATATAGTGAATGCAGGGTCCGGGGAGAGCGGATAGGGTGAATGCAGGGTCTGGGGAGACCAGATATAGTGAATGCAGGGTCTGGGGAGACCAGATATAGTGAATGCAGGGTCTGGGGAGACAAGATATAGTGAATGCAGGGTCCGGGGAGACCAGATATAGTGAATGCAGGGTCCGGGGAGACCGGATATAGTGAATGCAGGGTCCGGGCAGAGCGGATATAGGGTGAATGCAGGGTCCTGGGGAGACCAGATATAGTGAATGCAGGGTCCGGGGAGACCGGATATGGTGAATGCAGGGTCCGGGGAGAGCGGATATAGAGTGAATGCAGGGTCCTGGGGAGAGCGGATAGGTGAATGCAGGGTCCGGGGAGAGCAGATATAGTGAATGCAGGGTCTGGGGAGAGCAGATATAGTGAATGCAGGGTCCGGGGAGACCAGATATAGTGAATGCAGGGTCCGGGGAGACCAAATATAGTGAATGCGTGGTCCGGGGAGAGCAGATATAGTGAATGCAGGGTCAGGGGAGACCAGATATAGTGAATGCAGGGTCCTGGGGAGAGCGGATATGGTGAATGCAGGGTCCTGGGAGAGCGGATAGGGTGAATGCAGGGTCCGGTCCACATAGTTTATATTTTAATATATGAGCACCTTGTGCAGTTTTATGGAATATTAAGAGTCACCTATCTGAAATATCTATCCACATTCACTTTGGACATTATTTCAGTATTCCTAATTATTAGTACTTTTGGTGCAGTTTTATGTGTTATTACCGGTCGTTTTATTGTGACATTTAATTTTATGCATTTTTGCCAGATGCATTTACGCATGCGCATTTTTAGCATGTTCCAGTGCGTTTTTGATGCCTTTTTGACACGTTCCGGTGCCTTTTTTACCTTTCTCTTTTTCTTCATTTCAAATAGGGATGCGTGCATTTTGGTGTGTATTTTTTATGTGTTTTTACCATGTTCCAGTACAGTTCTGTGCAGGAAAAATGCAGCCTGTGCAACTTTTTTTTTTTTTTTCTGCAGCCGGAATGCACTGGACCTGCAAGCACTGATGTGAACTATGACATTGACAACCATATCACCTACTTTCTGTGCATTTTGGATGCAGAAAAAAAAGCAAGTGAAACGCATGGAGTGTGAACTGGCCCTAAACGTTAACACGTCAAGCCCTTTTCGTATTTCAAAAATTTAAATATGGCTTGGTTATAAAACGTTTTTATCAGGGCAAGTAGATTGTTGTGAAGGACAAGTAGATTGGGACCCTGATTTAGTCCCTGGACAAGTAGTTTTTTTTTTTGTTTTTTTGTTTTTTTTTTTTTTAATTTCCACACCCCTACATTTATGTTTTTTTCTATCCATATACAATTGTTTTGCCTTTCATTTCTATGTTAAAGTGAATTGATTTTTTTACAAGGTGAGGGTTTACATATACTTTACCTTTACTGTGTTTTGTATTGAAAATTTGCATTTGGTAAACTGTTGGGCCAATATCACGTGCAATAAAAATTTTGGAACTACCACCATTTTATTCTTCAGGGTATCTGCCTTAGAGCTTGGGGGTTTAGCTCATTTTTAGGCCTAAAGTGATTTTTTAAAACATTTGTGATTTAAAAAAAAAAAAAAATAGCAAAAACTGCTTTGGCAGTGAAAGGGTTAAAGGATAAGTTCACCTTTCATAACGTGTTACATGTTACACCCATATTCAGGGTGTAACATGTTATGATCAGTTCGGCCCCCACTCTACCGCTTTGGCAGCCAGCGGGGGATCTTCTCCTCCCTTACTAACTGTCAAATTAGGAGAAAAAAAAAAGTGGTCATGTGGGGCTCCGCCCACCCGGTTGCGTCTTTCATTCACAGTGCTAGCGGCTGTCGGCTTGTAGTTCTCAATGAGCTACGATGGCACTGCGGAGCACCGTGGTGGTTCATGGAGTCTTCCTGTTAGTATCTCTGCTTCCTCGTACATCCCGTAAGCAGAGATACTGTCAGGATCTGCTGATCACTGGTGTCATGGTTTACAGGCTCCCCCATCCAAAACTGATAATGCACATTTTTTTTACCTGCATAAGTTCACCTTTATAACAAAAATAATAAATGCACATTTTTTTGCAGGTTACAAAAATGTGCATTTATTATTTTTGTTTTAAAGGTGAACTTATCCTTTAACCACTTCCAGTCCGGACACTTATACCCCCTTCCTGTCCAGGCAAATTTTCAGCTTTCAGCGCTATCACACTTTGAATGACAATTGCGCGGTCATGCAACACTGTACCCATATGAATTTTTTTTAGCATTCTTTTGAGACCGATAAAACTTTATTTTGGTGGTATTTATTCACCACTGGGATTTTTATTTTTTTGCTATATAAATGAAAAAGTCCAAAAATTTTGAAAATAAAGTGTTTTTCTTATAAAATCTTGCAAATGAATAATCTTTCTTCATAAATCTTGGCCAAAATGTATTCATTATCTTTTTAGTAAAAAAAAAAAAAAATAACCCAAATTATTTTATAACCAAAAATTATAATTTTTCTAAATTGTTTTGTTACATTTTCATTTTTTTTTATATTATTATGTTTTTTTTTTAACATACTGTCACCCTACCAGTACAGTGTCACCATAGTGACACTGTACTACTTGTGGGGGGTGATTTTTTTTTTTTTTTTCTTTTTTTACACTGATTGCTTTTACACCCATAAAGGCTGTAAAAGCAATCATTTCTATTTCTCTCTGGCTGCATTCCTGCAGCCATTGAAAAATACTGTGCGAGCTTGTGATTGGTCACAGCTTGTCACATGGTACAAGGTTGTTGTGAATAGCCCTGTACCATGTGATCTCTGTGATCATTCACAGATTTCACTAGTAGTAAGCAATGATGTCAGAAGTGACATCTTGCTTACTATTCTGCATGTGATCACTGATTGGCCAATCAATCAATGTAAAAGCAATCATTTCTCCTTCTCTCTGGCTGCATTCTTGCAGCCATTGAGAGATACTGTGAATAGCCTTGTACCATGTGATCTCTCTGATCATTCACAGATTTCACTAGTAGTAAGCAATGATGTCAGAAGGACATTTTGCTTACTATTTGCATGTGATCACTGATTGGCCAATCAATCAATCAATGTAAAAGCAATCATTTCTCCTTCTCTCTGGCTGCATTCTTGCAGCCATTGAGAAATACTGTGAATAGCCTTGTACCATGTGATCTCTGTGATCATCCACAGATTTCACTAGTAGTAAGCAATGATGTCAGAAGTGACATCTTGCTTACTATTTTGCATGTGATCACTGATTGGCCAATCAATCAAATGTAAAAGCAATCATTTCTCCTTCTCTCTGGCTGCATTCTTGCAGCCATTGAGAAATACTGTGAATAGCCCTGTACCATGTGACCTGTGATGTGATCATTCACAGATTTCACAAGTAGTAAGCAATGATGTCAGCAAGTGACATCTTGTTTACTACTATTCATGTGATCACTGATTGGCCAATCAGTGATCACATGAATTGGGACCTCACTAAGAGGTCCCATACAGCGATCGGTGCCCTCCGGACACAGCGGGCACCGATTTGTGTTGCTGCACTCTCCCAGGGAGCGCACACAGACAATGGATGCGGGGGGACGTTCAGAAACGTCCACCCGCTCCGACAGCGCTCCCATCTAGCCGTTTATGTACATGGGCCGGACGGGAAGTGGTTAAGGCGCCAGGTACACCTTGGATGACCGTAATGGGGAATTATTTTCTTCTCTCTGTTCCTGTACTGGTATCAGATTGAAGTGCAATCAATTGAATCAAAACTCCGCTTTTCAAAATCTTACAAAAAAGAAAAAAAAGCAATCAATAGTCTAACAGTGGTGACAATGAAAAGCGACCTTCACCCTGAAGAATCTAATGTTTAACATTGCGGCGTGTGGATTAACCGTAACATGCTCTCAGTGTAATATTAATGAGGCTGTTTTGTGGCATTGAGTTCAGCCTGACACCTCTGGACTTTGGAACACCGCTTCTGAATTTTTTATTTTGCTGAATAGTTAAACTGTTCTGATTTACATGGTCAGCGATGTAGCTATAGAATTCAGGTCCAGGGGAAAAATGGTTGTAGTATAAATAAATCTGTGAAAAAAATCCACGACTGGTGCAATAACCCCCAAAAAGGTAAACAAAAATCAAATAAATTTTTTTTTTTTTAAAAACTCAAAGCAGCATGCATTATACTCTGTGTGGCATAGGGTATAGCTCAATAGTAGTGCTTCCCAGCTGCAGAAGTTCTGTTTAACCTCCCTGGCGGGATGATTATTTCAGATTTTTGGTGCTGAAAGCGGTACCATTATTTTGCATGGAAATTTGGCGTTTTATATTGTAAGCTGTAATTCTTAGGAATAACTCACTGAAATCTGTCCGAACAAGAGTCTATTAAACATCCCGGGTAGGATAAAATTTGAAACACGAAATCATAAATTATAATTTAATAAATAATCATCATAAAAAATAATAATATAATAATAATAAATTTAATTCAATAATATAATCAAACCAAAAACAATGAAATTTGAAATATAACGCCAAGTTCGCACATCACTGAGCAAAGTCGCAAAATCGTTTTCAGTGTCTGATGACGAATTTCCCCCACGAATCATTATCACTCAATTCTGCAAGTGGTTCTGATTTACTATCGCTGTTCTCTAGCTGGTCTAAAACCGCTTTTGACCTAAAGGGACGCTTTTTGGACACCATGGACGTTTCTCAGTTTCCAGGTAGAAAGAACAGTAAAAATGAAGGCAGGGCGCCAGGACAAAGCACTTGGGACAAAATGTATGTGAAATGGTTTGATACAGGAATGTTATACTATGTGATTTTAGTGATTTTTGTGAACGTCACTTTTTGTAATTTTCAAATTTCCCGCTGTTCCGTCCCCCGTACGTCTCGACACTCGCAGAGGACGGAACCCAGATGACAGATGCCGGCATCCGCCGGATTACATTGCCAGGGACACTGCAGGAGGGACATCGCGGGAGCGCAGGACAAGGTAAGTGATCGAGGGATCCCGGAGCAGCGCTGCATGGTAATCCCGAGTGCAGCTCGGGGTTACCGCTTGTGGTACTGAAACTTTACCCCGAGCTACACTCGGGAATACCGCCAGGGAGGTTAAGGGTTCGCTGGCCCACTTTTATTAAA